TTTCTAAAATAATGAGTAAGAAATTTGAGATTAATGTGATAAGAGAATTATCCTACATTTTGGGGTTTAGCATAAAATAATTTGATGATAGAATCTTTCTTAATCAATCAAAGTACATTAATGATATCTTGAAAAAATATGAAATAGATAAAGTCAAGCCAATAAATACTCCCATGAGCTGTAGTGTTAAGTTAGATAATGACTCAAATGAAAAATCTGTTGATCAAAAGAAGTATAGAGGAATGATTGGATTACTACTTTACTTGACTGGTAGCTGACATGATAAAGTGTTTAGTGTTTATCTTTGTGCTAGATTTCAAGCTGATCCTGAAGAATCGCACCTGACTACAGTTAAGAGAATTCTTATATATCTCTCAGGGACCTAAAACTTAGGAATCTGATATCCTATGCACAACACTTCTTTTGAGATTATTAGATATTTTAAATTTGATTTTATAGGATATAGGGTTGATAAGAAGAGAACTTCTAGTACTTTTCAATTCATAGGGCAGTCCTTAATCTCTTAGTCTAGTAGAAAATAAAACTCTATTGCACTTTTCACTACTGAAGTTGAGTGCATTGCTTTACAAATTTGGGTGGCCCAAGTCCTTTGGTTGAAAGTATAAATTCTAGATTTATGATTACCCGTAGGCATAATTTTAATCCTATATGTTGACACTATTGTCATCTACATCTCTAAGAATCCTATCCAACTTTCAAGGACCAAACATATTTATATACGGCATCACTTTATTAGGGACCATATTACCATAGGAGATTCAGTTACACCATGAGATAACCTTAGAATCAACAAGCTGACATCTTTACTAAACCACTAGCCTTCGACATATTTAGCATCTTAAGGATCAGATTGGGTGTGATTGACATAAATGTATAAACTTGATGCTTACTGAATTCTAAATTTTATGTTTTCTTATCTGTTGTTTCTTGTTGTTTTCTATTCTTTCTTTTGTGTCTTACTTTTCTTTTGTTTTTAGTTTTTAGTTATTAATTTTTATTTACTCCTATTTTTTTAGTAATTTTATTTCTGATGTTCTTATTTCTCTTTCATTTTTTCTTTTTTCTTTTTTCATAGCTGAAATGATATTTTATGCCTTATTTTTATTATTAAAAATTTTTAGCTAATATTTGATATCTCTAAATTAGTTAAAGGGAGAAACACCGTTGATTATTTCCCTTCCTCTAACATTTTTTAGTAGCTTAATTTTCTTTTCTAAACAAAAGTATTTGTCAAATTGACAACTGCACTTTACAGTTAAGATCTTTTCTATCTTGTTACAGTAATCTATCGTATATAAATAATGTTCAAAGTCATTACATCACATCCAAGCTTTTTGTAATCTTGTTCATTACATTTATCATATGAATTTGATTCTATTTTATGGTTTCCTCACCCATCTATTCGAGAGTGAGTTTTTCTTCTCTAATATCTAAAAGATATTCTCTCAACTGAGAGTATTTAAAAGTTTAAAAAAGGGATCTTGCTTGTAAAAATGACAAAGGGTGTAAAATGAGCCCAAAAATAAGAAAAACTGAAAAAGATGCATAATTATCATAAAAAAAAATAAAAGATATAAAAGTGTATCAAAAATAAAAGATAAACAAAGTATGCCAATCAATTGACTAGATGCACAAAATGAGCACACAAGAAAGCAAGCTTCCTCTCTCTTTCAAACCTTTAAACCTTAGAAAAATTCATGTGTCACTTGATATTTTCAAAGACTTGATTTTGAAATTCATGAATGTGACTAATTACTTTGATATATTATACTATAAGATATTTTTTCGAAACCAAGTTTTGAATGGATCACGTATTCTTATCTAATTGGTTTTTATGAGTTATATCTTTGTTTTCAAAAGATGGTTTGCCCTGTAAGAAGTCCGAGCTAAGGTTAACAACATCGGTTGTTTTACCATTTTTTAGATTTCGATGATGTTAACTCATTTTCCTACAAATTTTTTTTTCAATCACATGGAAAATTTATCATATTCATGCTTTGTTCAAAAAAATGTTTTTTATTCTTTTTTGTCATTTTATAGTCTTTTTCCTTATTTATTTTTTACTATTATTTTCTTTTCAATTTTCCTCCTTTTTGTGATGTCAAAAGAGGAATAGTGGTAGTGTTTGGGCTATTTTGTTGTTCTTTTTTTTTTACTATGATTATTTTGTATTTGCCTCCATGCTACGTTTCATTTAAATGCTTAAGTTGAATTTTTTATCAAATGCTTGCCATCATCAAAAAGTGGAAGATTTTTGTAAATTTGGATTCAACAATTTTAATTTTGATGATAGCAAATATTTCTGACACTTCTGTTTTTCTTACTATTGCCCTTCCTACTAATGTTTCAGGTCCACAAGGTCAATTTAAAAATCAAGCCAGCTCAAGATTAGGACGATTAGGATTGAGTTAATTTGTAAGTGTACTTCAAGTATTTTTATCTTTTCTTGAGTCAAATGTAATAAAGATGGTCCAAATGCTTAGTAACCTTGCACACACACACTCATGGAAAAAACTATGTCTATTTTAGAGTTCTCTGTTTTTAATCAAATCATTTGGGATGATCCAAAATCATCCTGGATGATCAGTAAAAACTAAAAACCCTAATTAGGGCATCCTATTAAAGCAACCAAAATTAAGCAAATCATCCTAGATGATATTATTATCATCCTTCACTATATGATCAAATCAAATAGAATCAATCACCAACTCTTTTAGGCATGTTATTATTTTTAGACATCATATAAGACATTACTCTAGATGATGCATTATAATTATACCTAAAGTAGTCTGTTGATTAAGAAAAGTAATTAAGATTTGATTAATCAGTCATATCATCTTGGAAGATCGTAGGATTGTCCTGCATGATCGCAAGATCATTCTGAATGATCAGCTAAAAAATCCTTAGTTCCTTCCTGGATGACTAAAATGATGTTTTGGATGATATGTATTTATTTGAACAAATTATACTAAATGATCCAATAATTGTCCCACACGATCAGTTATTTTTTCATTATCCAGCATGAAAAAGTCTAACCAAATAGAGTGATGGTGGGGATGATTCTTGACATTTTTGAACTAACCATATAGGAGGATGTCCCATCATCCTTGACAATTAGAATTAATAAATCTTTAAATTGTCCAGTATCCTTCAGATCATCTTGGCGATTGAGTTAAATTTGTAGTCTTGGACAATCTTTATTAGTTTGTTACAATTTAGAGAAAATTTGAAGCCCTTCTATGTAAGATCTCATATTTACTCAAGATGTGATCTTTTACAATTATCCTGACCTGAGAGAGTTAAGAGGAGAGGGAGATCATGGGGGAGAGAGAGAGAGGATCATGTGAGAAGGAGTTTGTGAGGGTTTCACAAAGGTTGCATCAAGGAAGGATCTGAGTCAAATTCTCCAATCATCATCCCTAGTTCCTTGGAGTATCTAGAGGGGTCTACAATAGGGATAGATTGAGGTTTTCTGCATGCTTTTGGAGTAAGCGAAAGGACTTGGGTTCCCTGCATGCTTCAAGATAAAGAGAGTGAAGTTAGGTTCTCAACCTCACCGGGGTCGGTGGAAAGGGGTTTTATACATGCTTCTCCACCATACTGTGGGAGTAAAAAGAGAGTTAATAAGTTTAGTGCAATACCTAGAGGAGAAGCTCTGGGGAGGGGATGTAAGTCATATTGATTGAACCACTATAAAATCTAGTGTGTTCTTTCTTATTGCATTTCTATATTTAATTTTTGCACTTTATTTTCTAATGAATGATTATTTGGTTTAGATCAAAATTTCAATTTGAGAGTTTTTAAAACACTAATTCACCCCTCCCCCCCTACCGCTTACTAACCTCAGACTAGTTCATAAGGGTTTAATATCCCTAATGAACTATCAGATTCATCCCATTAAAATAGTGGAAATATAATAGATCATACTAGAGGATCTCTATATTGCAAGGTATGATGTGTTAAAAAATTATGAATTGTTCATTCTACTTCATACTAGACGAGACTAGTTTTGAACTGATTGTACCGTAAAACTTAGATCGTATTTTTTGAACAGTGATGGCTAAGTTGAATTTCTAGAGTTTCTTGAAGCCTTTTATAAAACTAATTCTTTAACCATTTTCTAAATAAGATGTGAAGAGAGGAACTTCATTAAAGAAAGAACTCTAAAAGAGATTTTTGGAAGAAAATCAGGGTTTGTGCTGAAAGTTGCATATTGCATTAATAAAGATAAACTAAACGAGCATACATGATATGGAAACTAAAAGCTATGTCTTCCCTGACAAAAAACAAAAGTGGGAAGAGCTGGAACACTAAGAACATCCATACAAGTATGACACCCAAAAAGAAAGAAACAAAAAATGAAAGGAAAAACCCCTTTGATTCCCAAGGAGGCCCACCCCAAAGGTATGCCCAAAGAGTAATATGAGTGCTCAAGGAACCACCCCAAAGGGGGGAGATACCTAATAGAGGGTTAAAACAGCCTAGGGGCTGAGAGATATCCCATTGCTTCAGCAGTGGTGTGAGCATCCATATCACCTTAGGACATACAAAATGGTAGAGCCTCATTGATCCTCAAAGGGGACATACTCCCCGCCCATGTCATCTTGTAAATTCTTCCTCCTTTTCCTTGGAAGCGAGGTAATAGGTCCAAGGTGTAGGAGCTGTTTCTCCAAGAAAGTTTTGGGAACCTTGAGTTGGCTCTTCATAAGATTGATACTAGAGGATGGATCATCACGCTTTGGCCGTTCCACATTGAACACAACTCTTTCTTCTAGAGGAGGGGGGCAAGTGGAATTCACAATTCTGTTTGAGATCTCCGCCATCCGCTGACTATTACCCTGAGCAGGTTGGCGAGGTCTAGGTGTTTCAGACCCCTCCTTACCGCCCATAATAGGCTGCTCCATGTGGGCTCTCGGTTTGTTCCTCCTTCTCCTAGTCACCAAGTTCCAATCCCCAAGAGAATCATTCGTTTGCACCTCCTAGCTGGCGGGATTCTGCTGAGGTAGATGTCTCGGGACTACTGAGGGACCTGCCACCGGCTGCACACCTAGCTGTTCTTGGATGGGCTGGGCTATCCGACTCCCAGTCAGGGATAGAGCTTTAGCCGATATGGTGGATAGGCAACTCCCTTTTGCATGGCCAATCAAGCCACAATCGAAACAGAAATTTGTAAGTCCCTCGTATTCTACCCGTTGGAAAAATCTGTCGTTGATGTCGTTGATCCAAACACCGGGTAGCAACTTTTGTGTTAGATCAATCTTGACACAAATTCTAGCAAAGGAAGACCTCCCCCATTTGTTCGTATGTGAATCCATCCAGAGAGGCTCCCCAAGCGAATTAGCAATGCGAGTGATATTATTGATGTCCCAATAGATGAGGGGGAGTTGGGGCAAACGGATCCAAATTGGTGAGCGGAGACCATGCAAGGAGTTGGGAGAACAAGAAGAGTCCCATCTATCCAAACCAATGATATTGCCCGCTATGATCCAAGGACCACTAGAGATAACGGCGTCCCTAGCCGCAGAACTTTGGAAGATACAAATAGCCGTGTTCGGGCCAATGGTGATGATCTCAAACTCCCCAAAATGAGACCATCTGCATTTGAGCTCCTCCAGAAGAAAAGGGAAGGAAATACGCCGTCCCATGAGTTTGGCCACAATGGCCAATTCCAGCTTGGCAATGTTGTCTTGTACCAAACTGATTTCAGGCTCAATGGTTTTACCATCCATAGACATGAAATGGTCCCTTGACATCTTGTCAAGGGGAACATTCTGCACCTTGTTCCAAGCGAAGGGGCTAAGAGGAGAGCCCCTAAGATGCATCGGAGTGTCCTTAGGAGGCTGCAGTTTCAGCCATTCTGCAGCAGTAGGCTTGGAGTCATTTCCATAAACAGGTTGTGGGCATTCTGCTGTTGCTTCCTTGCACAGGTTGGCTGTAACAATGGGTGGTTCACACCTAAGACAATCAGAATTGTTCTCCGTCATGGCCACATCAATATTCATAGAGAGATGATCACATCCCAAATCATCCACTTGAGCTGTAGCCTCCTCAGCTTCGGCTAGATTTGCCCAGGCCTTAGCCTCCCGAAATGCTGGGCATACAGCCTCTCAAGGGCCAAAAGCTGCTGTTTAGCCCAAACCCCATGATCATCCTCCATATCCATCTGAGATCCCAAAGCTCCAGCCGAATCCTCCATGTTGCTAGCTGCTCCAGCCTCCCGATGAGAAGTCTCGAGCTGTTTGGTCTCCATCCCGCAGCTGCTCGAGTGGGGGGAGGCAGTACCCGAGCTGCAGCCACCTTCTTCCACTCCTTGAGCTACATTTAGATTCAGGCCAACCTCAGCCTCCCAGGAAGCCACATCCGGAGGGGAGATTCCTATAGAACTCATAATGAGTTCACGAACTGCCAAAGGCTTGGAGGTTTTGTTCGGCGCCTCCTTCATTGTAACTAAGGAGGTTTTGTACGCAGACGTCTTACCCAGTCCTTGGCCATTCTCCTTACCCTGCCGAGCCACACCATGGGGTTTCGTACCTTTCTCCTCCCACACACCAAGAGGCGCGGCACTCTTGGCTGCAGCAGCCGAAAATCGGCCAATGCCCGGTTATTTAGGTAAGAAACCCGCCTTAACCCCATGTGTCATCGGCTCACCACCGCCGGCCTCCTCGTCGGCAAGCACTTGCTAATGATTTCCAACTCTTCCTTCCTTCTTGCCTCCCCCTCGACCGCCATTTCCCCCATTTGGAGGAGGTGACCTAGGGCCACCCCCTCTAGCCATCCCTAAGCTTCTCTCTCTAAACCGCTCTAGAGAGAGAATGAAAAGGGAACAAATGAGAGCATAAATCAAGGTTTGTGAGAGGAAGCATAAGGTGATCTTGAGTGTAAGGGAGTAGGAGTGTGAGGGGAATCACACGATTCCTAGTCAGTCCTCATAGTTTTCTACCTTCTCTAGGAGGGAGAAAAAGGAGTCAAGAATCTTTGCCTGTGAAAGGAGTTTTGATCATCCGGCACATTAGGTTTGTAAAAGAGTGTGTTATAAGTACTTCTCTATCTTGCTGAGAGAGAAAAAGGATAGTCACTTTGTATTAGTGCAATACTCATAGTGGAGAACTCTTTGGAGTTGATATAGGTTAAGGTTTGACCGAACCACTATAAAATATGGTGAATTCACTCTAATTTTACTTTTTGTACTTCATCTTAATTCTAACTGCTTGATAAATTTTTGAGATCAATGTTTTATTATGATAATTAAAATTTTATCATCACTATTGTTTAGGCATATTTAATTTGTTAGCTTCCACATACAAAAATTAAAATAGCTTATTTATATGTGTTTTGAAAAATCTAAAAAAAAAATGTGTACTTTGCATTGGAATATTTTAAAAGCACTAATTCACCCCCCCCCCAAATGGTATCAGAGCGGGGTCTCAAAAATAGTGTTTTGGAAGATCTTGAAACTAATGATCAATTACACATTTTGGTAATCATAACACTATGGAGGGTTATTCAATATCTCATCCACCTTTATTTGAAAACATCCCATTTGATTTATAGAAAATTTGAATGTCCATATATCTCCAATCCATTAACCATAGAATTTTGCATATGATTCAAATTGGTTGCTCACTTCCATCGCATGTTGTTAATGGTGTTAAAACTAATATTCCTTTTAACGAATGGATCAATAAGGATAGGGAACTTGTGTAGTAGAATGCTAAGTGTTTGAATTATTTCAATTAAGCTTTAAAATCTGATGACTATATGTGAGTTTCTACATGCACTACCGAAAAGTGATATGGGATAGGTTATGTATCACCTATGAGGGAACGAGTGAAGTGAAACACTCTAGGATAAATATTTGTTTGCATGACTATAAACTTTTAGCAAGAAACCTAGCAAAATTCTATGGTGTTTTCCTAGCACATATGATACAAAAATGACTGCAATTACAAAATGAAAAGATCTAAATGTTTACTCTATTGATAACTTGCTTGGATCACTCATTACATATGAGAAAGGGGTGAGCCAAAGACAAAATGATGCATGAGAAAATAAAAAGGAGAGAATAGAGAAACTAAAAGCAAATGGTTCTAACAATAACCAATCTTTAGTAAATGAGGATGATGAAATAGTCTTGATGATGCGCCAGATCAAGTGCTTCATAAAAAAAAAAACAAAAATGTCATCAAAATAACTATAACTAAGGTAAATGTCACAAATCTACTAAAGTTTCATCTGATATAGTTTGCTTTGAGCATATAAGCAAGGATACATACAAGTTTACTGCCCCAATCTAAAGACTCGCACAATCAAATAAAATGGTGAAGAGAAACCAAAGTACAAAAGGGACAAGAAAAAGGCAAAGAAAGCCATTTGGTCCGACTCTGCCTCAGAATGATCAGAAGAAGAAGCAGAGGATGAGGTAACAAATTTGTGTCTAATAGATAATGATAATCTTGATCAATCTAATCAAGATGAGGCATGTAAACTCTCCTATGATGAATTACTTATTATTTCTAAAAATATTCATGATTCATATATGAAGCTTAAGAAAATTCATGCTAGTCTTAATATTGAATTTTCTACTTTACAAAAAGAGCATACTGGTTTAATTACAGATCACTCAACTTTAGATAGAAATCATATGGCTTTATTAGATGAGTTTGATGCATTAAAGAAGAAGAATATTGATTTATTTGATGAACACAATTCCTTGAAAACATTATATATTGAGCTATAAAAAGTATTTAAGGATTTAGATGAACTTACATGTCAATTAGATTGCAGCAAACATGCATTAAAAGTTGAAGTGGCAAGCTATGAATATGCAAATAAATATTTATAAGCAAAAATTACTACTTTAGAAAATAATAAACCACCACATTCAATGGCTCAATGTTATAACTCATCAATACAGTATATATTACATAAACCTAGAAAGAGGCATCATCATCCACATAGGTTAGTGAACCCATTTCCTTTTGTTAGGTGTTACTCTTGTGGCATGTTATGACACATAGCCCGAACTTTCACTTTCCACTACAAGACATATTTATTGTGGAGCCTTAATTGCATTCATCACAGTATAACATTTATACATCTCATTCATTCAAGCATAAGGTGGAACTCAAAATCACTTGAGATCCCAAAACTAACCTTCGAATGAAATTGTAGGGGTGCTTTCATATAACAGTCCTAGTAAGAGAATGTGGTACCATTATAGTGACTTGTAGAGGATATGATACGTGATATGAATCCGTTTATTACATTAGAGGAAAGGTTAAGAGGCAAGGTAATATTAGGAGATAACACCACTAGAAAAGTGGCTATATCATGTATAATTAGAAACTCAAAGCACCTTATGATAGAAAATAACATATTAGTTGACAATTTAAAACATAATTTGTTTAGCATTAGTCAACTGTGTGATAAAGGTTTTGATATAATATTTCTTTCTAACAAATACAATATTAGCCTAAATGATAAATTTATGTTAGAAGGAAAATAAATAAATAATGTTTATATATTAGACCTAAATTATATTGGATACTCAAATTCCTTGTGTTTAAAAATAATAATATATAATTCTTGGCTTTGGCATAGGAGACTATGTCATGTGAGCAAGAAAGTACATAGGAATATCACTTAGGAAGGTCAAGTTAGAGGCATATCTAAGTTAGACTTCACTAAGGACCACCTATGTGATACCTTCCAACTAGGTAAATAAGCAAAATCATCATTTCATTCAATTAAAGAAATCAACACCTCTAGGCCACTAAAAATTCTTCATATGAACCTATTTAGACCAGTTAGTACAGCCAGCCTACAAAGGAAGACTTATGGATTTGTGATAGTAGATGACTTCTCTAGATTCACTTTAGTAAGATTCCTAATACATCAAAGTGAGTTATTTGAGAAATTTAGAACATTCTTAACTTGGATTCAAAGGATATTATGATGTGAAATCTCAATAATCCATAGTGATCATAGTGGAGAATTTTAAAATGATAGGTTTGAATCCTTTCGTCAAGAAGCAAGAATAGAATATAGCTTCTCTGCCCCTAGGACCCCTCAGTAGAACAAAATAGCTGAGAGAAAGAATAGTATATTAGTTAAAGATGCTAGGCCAATGTTTGTTGAGCACTCTCCCTAGATATTTTTGGGTAAAAGAAATGAATATTGCTTGTTATATTTTAAATAGGTTAAATGTTAGATATGTTGAGCTTAATTTCATTAAATGATTGGGTTAAAGGGTTGACCTAATAAAATTTACCAAGCCAAACCCCAAGACAACATCCCTTCACTAGGTGATACCAAGTCTACTGAGCCAAGATTGAGGCCCTGGGTCAACGTGGTTGACCAGGTCAACCTATGTTGACCAAAATTTACCTAGATCTCCTCAATTTAATTTCAACTCCATTTGAATCCATCCTAGCTCAATTCATAATCTTCCTTGGGCTCTATGGGTCAAACCAACCCTATTGAGCTCAAACCCAAGCCTTGGGTTAACCTGGTTGACCAGGTCAACCTAGCTTAACCCAATAAGCTCTATGGGCTCAATTGAATTCAAATACAATCTATAAGCTCATCCTTAGCTCAATCCCTTTACTCCATGGACTTAACTATGTTGATTAGGTCAACCATTGACCTTATCAACCCAAGCCTTAATTAGGTCAAAGTAGCCTACTCAAGTCAACTAAGACATATCCAATGGATTGAATCTGTTGCAAATTCAGGTCCATGAACTATGTTTTGATGATTGGCAAACACTCTTACTTGTCTTGGACTGCCTTTTACTACTGACTTTTCAGGAATCAAAGATCAGACGGAAAAATGGAGCCAGCTCAAGAATGGGTAGATTAGGGTTGCGTCAGTCTGTAATTTTATTTTTTCCCTTCTTGAGTCAATTGTAATCTTTGGTGTGACTGATGAAAAGTAACCCCCCCCCACACACACACACTTGAGAGACTTAGAATTTCTATTTTTT